ATCAAAAGTTGTAGTCATTTCCGGTGAAACAGGAAGTGACCCAAAACAATTCAATACGTCAATCAATCCTAATTTATGTTAAATACTAACATACCAAATCTCGTTTTTCTATCTAAAAAAATAAAAAAGTTATAGGGGTGAGCCACTTTTGAGACGCATCCGGTATAGTTACTTACTAGGGAAAAGTTATTCCACTATTTCCCTCAATTTTTGGCCGAGATCTACCGCACGCTACACAACCAACTAGTTTACAGTCTTTTCGTAAATCGCAATAGTGTCACCGTTAATTTAAGTTCTGCTACAATTTCCTTCTAGATTTACTACCTTTAAACAACTATCATCATTATCATACAATATCATATTATCAGTAGTAGAATCAATAATAAATAACAAGCAAAAATAATATAAGTTCTTCCTTACTATGGATTCAGGGGAGTGCCGCTCGAATGGCTTAAGTCGTATCTTGGCAACAGAAGGCAGCTTGTGAGGATTGATACGTCTATGTCTTCTTGTAAGCCTATAGAATGCGGTGTCCCTCAGGGTTCAGTACTTGGCCCTATTTTATTTCTGGTGTTTATCAACGACATTGCAAGTCTAGACATTAGCGGTAAAAGCTGCCTCTTTGCGGACGACACTAGTTTCACTTGGAGCGGCCCAGGTGTTACGGCACTATATAGTACCCTTATAGTACTATATCCAGTGACTTACGCACCATTAAATCTTGGTGCGATTCTAATCTCCTATGCCTCAACGTTCCAAAAACTAAAGTTTTGTCATATAAAAGTACTATACAACCTTTTGTACTTAATAACACCACTATTGACGTCGTGGACTCTGTGAGATTCTTAGGACTTGTTGTAGACAACTCGTTAAAATGGGACTTGCACATCGAAGCCTTATCAAAGAAACTAAGCTCTGCCTGTTTTGCGCTAAGATCAGTTTCTAAGGAACTTAACTCATCAACCTCTAGAATGGTCTATTATGCCCTTTTTGAGTCGCATCTTCGTTATGCCCTTCCATTCTGGGGTACTTGCTGCGCGACAAAATTTGATCGTATTTTCAAACTTCAAAAGAGTCGTTCGATACTTATTGGGACTAAACAGTAGAACTCATTGCCAGAATTTCTTTAAAAATTTCAAAATACTGACTCTTCCTTCTTTATTCATTTTTGAATCCGTTTGCTTAATCCGCAAGCACATATTCTCTATTCCGGAAAGGCCTTCTCACAACTATCCACTTAGGAATGCGGAGCACGATATTTATCAGCCAACCCCGAGCTCAGAACTAGTTAAGGGCTCAATGCTGTACAATGCGAAGAAAATGTACAATCATTTGCCTTCGAATATCAAGTCACTTTCATTCTTTCCCGCATTTCGCAAAGCTCTGAAATTATACTTACTGGAGAGAGCCCTATATGCGGTAAACGACTTTTTTGTTGATGTTTAATCATGAACAATTTTGAATTTTAAAATTTTGATCATCTCACACACTGGTTAAAGGTCTAGTATTTAATATTTTATAACTCTTGATTTTATAATATATAACATTATTTTATCCATTTACAGTTTTCCTTTTGTAAAATTTTCTAGATACGCCGGTGTTCTGCAATGTCCATATATGTTTTATTTGTAATTTTATGACGTAATTTTTTTTTGAATTGATTTGTATTGTATGACATTTTTACTTGTTTATTTGTATATTTGTTTTTGTGCTTTTTTGTTTTGCTTTGTCGATGAAGCTGTTTTGGCTTTTTGTACAATAAAGCGTTGTGTTTTTTTTTGTTTTGTTAAGCTCCGTAAAGATCGACAAATCCACAAAATTTCAAATCAAATTCAAATGTGTCAAATGAATCGTCAAACAGAACTGTCAGTAAGAATCCCCACCCTAGGGCCCTTTGTCAGTCTACCTTGCATGAATACATGGATATATAGCTTCCTTAATCTTTTTATTCAAAGATATGAACGGAAGTCACGGAATCAGAGATAGAGCTCTATTTTAATCATCCGCCACTGGATAACTATTCATATTCCATGACTTAGTATATTTCTTAAACTGAATCTCAACAATGTCCGTTCAGGATACGAGATATGAGTAGTATCCAGATATTTATAAATTTATTTTAGGCTCTCTATTTAGATATACATACACTTATTTACTTTTTTAATTTTTATAACACAAATACTGAAATGCAAGAAATATAGATTATATTCTATAACTAGAAAATCCCTACTTAGTTTGGACTTGTAAAGTGGTTTTAAAAATAATTTTATTGCGACGGCAGGCTCTAAGGGTGTCGTTTACGCAGAAACACCGATCACCTGGAGTTACAAAAATAAAATGCACACTCGTGATACCGGTGGTCTTCGGGAAACGTAACTTTATTGCCAATTAGACGAAAGTTTAAATAATGCGTAACATTTTTTATGTTTTCTCACAAGAACTGCAAGGAAGAAAAAAATAAAACATTAGGTGAAGGTGAAACATTAACTTCAGTATTTTTTTTATACTTACTAGGTAGGTACCTAATAATAATGTCAATTAATTTATGGTCTGTAACGATCATTTAAACTGTCCTTATATAGCTATAATTTCCTTATAATAAGCTAATTTAACTAATATTCTTAGAAAAGACTGCCGTTTTGGCATAACACTTATTTTTTTAAATTGCATTTACGAGTAGGGATGGATTTTTTTCTGATATGTCGATAACTATCGATAGTTCGAATAAATTAGTGGTTTCAATTATACTTTATACTTAAAAGTTTACGATCATTCACAATGTCGAAAACAATACAATTAAAATTAATAGGCCATCCTAGCTACAGCTTGCGCTAGTCAGTTGTATCCATAGAAAAAGCCTAAAAATTAGCTTATAAAACAATAAACTTTTGATTTCTAATCACAATTTCTGTTGATGGATGGCCAAAATGACATAGCTTGAAGTATAATTAGTGGCAAGAGTTAAAAGGTTGTTAACTCTTTCCACTAATTGAAAATGACTTACTATACCGTTATCAATATATTAATATTAGTTATATATAATCAGGGGTAGTACGTAGTACATTTCAAATTTATTATATTAAATAAGGTGTGGATGGATTAGGGATGGACTTTTTCTTGATATATCGATAACTATCGATACCTATCGCTATATTGATAAATCTATCGATAACTATCGGTAATTTGATAGTTATCGATATGTTGGTTATTATATATTAGATATATCTATCGATATATCTAAAATATATCGATAGATGAACGGCCAAAACTTATCGATAGGTAAATATATAACGCTAGCCTTGCACTTGCTTTTTGTGCAGGACCAAGATCAAGACTGCTTGACTTGACCAGGATCAAGACCAACGCCAGCCTTGCTCAACACTATACAGGGTGGTCCGAACTGTATTCCGGAAACTTCAGCAGCATATTCTGCAAATAAAAATAAGTAAAAAAGTTTTTATAAATGTATGTCCTAAAATGCTTAGTTTCGGAGATACAGGGTGTAGAAGTTTCGTTTTTATTTCGATTTTTTCCAAATAATTTCTGAAATAACATCAATATTTGGATGAAATTTGGTATCCGGGAGTTTTTTGATATGCGAAATTCGATTTTGATATCAATATGGCTCCTACTTGTAGAGGGCGCCAACTACATATTTTTAACTGGTTTGAAGAGTAATAACTTTTCGTCCGTACCTGTATAAAACTCCTAAGTAAGAAAATATACATTTACAACGTTTTTAACGTAAAAAAGATCTCTTAATAAAAATCGCTACGAGTAATAGTTCTCGAGATATTTGAAATCGAAATTAGCAATACCTGTCATCATTGACATAAATTATAAACATGTTGACTAAATAGTTAATAGACGGAAATCATAAATTTGAAATGTTTTTGTGCCAAATCATCACCAATCATCATTTTTTCGAAGAAAATTTTATGATAAAAATATAATATATATAATAAAAATTTTCCAAATTTATCTTTTTAGTCCAATAACTATGTACTCAACATATTTACTTTTTTGTCAATAATGACATATATTGACTGTTCCCATTCTAAATATCTCGAGAAGGGTTGCTCGTAACGATTTTCACCAAGAGACATTATTTACGTAAAAAAATACGAAAATGTATATTTTTTCACTCAGCAGTTCTATACAGGTACGAACAAAAAGTTATTACTCTTCAAAACAGTTAAAACAAATGTAGGTGGCGCCCTCTACAAATAGGAGTCATAATGACATCAAAATCAAATGTCTCGTGTCAAAAAACTATCAGACACAAATTTTCATTCAAATATTGACGTTACTTCAAAAATCATTTGGAAAAAATCGAAATAAAAATGAAACTTCTACACCCTGTATCTCCGAAACTAAGCATTTTAGGACATACATTTATAAGAAGTTTTTTAGTTATTTTAATAAGAATATGCTCCCGAAGTTTCCGGAATACAGTTCGGACCACCCTGTATACGGCAACACAGAATTAGCCAACAAAATTGAAATTCTCCAAGCTTTTTAAATTTCAAAGAATGTTATTAACTATTTTTTGTCATATAATTTATTTTGACACATAAAATGACAGCGATCTCCATCTCCAAGCAAACTGCGATGCCGTTTGTTTATCGTTTGATATGTATACAAGGTGCTGAAACAGGTATTCCATTATCACATTTCTCATTTCTATTGTCTTAAAATTCATATTTTTTGTGTTAATACCATATTTTTGAAAAAAAAAACAGCGTCGGACTAGGCTTTAAAATAACAATGGATAGTTTTTGTGGGTGGTTAAACCAAAAATAGCGTTAACGGAGTACGTGTTTCCTCGGTATCGACAACTTCATATTTCTTATTCATCAATTAATAGCATTATTATTACTACACTTGTATATTTTCTGCAAAACCAAAAACGAAGTTAGCAGATGAGACCATTTCGTTAAAATGTAATGGGAAAGGTGAAAAACAAAATAAAACACGCATACAAAAAATATATAATCTTTATTTTAAACAAACTATAAATTCTCAATCACTGCCGCTGTCCAAAATCTTAAAATAAACGAAAATACGGAAAACAGAAATAAATTACTTACAACTAAAATAAAAAGGGTTTTTATGTCAAATTTTAAACTTAATCGAAAATCGAGTATGTCGTGGCACTAAGTCGATCGATCATCCTCTGAAAAAAAACGGAGAACAAGAAGTTTTAAGTAGTTTTTTATTAAAGGACGCGGTTGCATTCTAGTTTCCTATTTGGTCTGCACTCGAAAGTTTCCTGGAAGTCGCTCAGTTGAGACCAAACCACGTGCAACCTGAAAAAGGAAAAAAATAATCAAAAAAAATGGCGCCGGGAGGCACGTATAGCCGCCCATACTAAAATATGTTAATATGTCAAAAACTGCGACTTTGACTGATTTTGATGTTATTACAAATTCTGTTGCAAATATTATTCCTAATCTTAAATTGAAAACAGTGTTTCGCTAGCTACTGTAATTTTGGAGTTACGATTTTTTTAAATTTTTAACCCCCTCCCATACCCCCTGGTATGGTCATGTACCATACCCCCTGGTATGGTACATTTGTTATGGCCCTGTTGGTATGGTCGGCTAATAAACCATCCATAAATATTATTTAACATTAATCAGACACTTTAAACAAATATATTCAAATCACATATTATTCACATTTTTATTATAATTTAAATTTAAAACAAAAAGGTAACTAATGATAAAATATCTAATAAGGTTTTTATAATTAATGATAATAAGATTAACAAGCCAAGATATTAGTAGTGGGAACTATCGAATGAATACTATCGAAACATTCGATAATTGCAATTCATTCGAATAATTCGATAGCTAGTAAGAAAACATTCGTCGAAAACTATTCGAATAAAAATATCGAATATATGCGTCATCTGCCTTGAAATATATTAATTCGGCAGCAAAAACCATTCATTTATAAAATTCATTCATTTGTAAAATTCATTTATTCATCAGGATCGACTATAATAAAATATAAACTGGATTTTAGTTGTCGCCCGGCGACGTAGGTTTCTTTCCTAGAAACCCGACAGCGGTCGGTGGCAATGGTATGAAAAAAGCCGGCATCTTTGATTTTGAGTCAGATAAAGATAAGGACACATTATTTTTTTATTGAGGTGCTAGTATTTACACAGAAAATACATTATGAACGGCGCTGTTGCCGTATATTCGTATTAATTGGTATTAGCAAAGAATATTATTCTTTGGTATTATAATTAGTTAGAGATAGTATGACTATATATTTTGCATTTTTTTATTAATATTCTGTCGTTACACTGCAATAATACTTTTTATTTTGGATGTAGGAAAATGATTTTTAATGTTTTTAAAAAAGCAAAACTGGTTTAATAAATAATAACAGTAATAATTTGTTATACCGATTAACACCAAAATTTAAAATCATTTAATATAAACATTTTTTAAGTAGTAGCAAAATATAAACAACAAATTAGAAGTCCAAATTATTTATATTAGATCCTATTTAAAAATAATATAGTCTCTAAATTTTTTGTGTGGCAACGTTGGTTTATTAAATAATAATAATTACAGAACTAATTTGTTATATTAACAACAAATTTTAAAATCATGAAATATAAACATTTATTAATTTTCTAAGCATGCAGTGTAATAGAAGAAAAATATAAATAAAAAATTAGAAATCAAAATAATTATATATGTGTATTACTTTGTATTAGTATTTAAAAATAATATTTGCTTTTACTGGCATTTACTTTAAAAATAAATAAAATATTTCTTCGCAAAAATCTACATGTAAGAGAATTAGCATAAACAAAATACAAATATCGTTAACTTTTTTTAAATTGGCACGTGTAAAACTTTAATCAATCAATTTAATTTTCTCATCCCAAAATTTGAGTTCGATAATCATTTACTTAACCGCATTACCACATTACTTAAATATGATTATTAAGTTCAACTAATTCATATTACTAAAACATCTAAAATACAAATACATATGTATTTTTAAAATTAATTGTAAGTTCACCTCATCTCTCTTAAAAGTTGTTACTTCTCAAAATTTCCCATTAAAAAAATAGACCATATACCGTATAAAATTAAGTAATTGAAAGATCGGAAAATCACACAAATTTTCAGAAAAATTTTAACCACCTGCACACGTACACAATCATCAATTTAAAAAAAAACACTACTACTTTAGTATTTTAAATATTTTAATAAACGCAAAAATAGCACAGTATTTAGAAGGCAAGTTATAAAAATTTGGAAGGACTAATAATGCACTGACGCAGACAAAAATCAAACGAATACTAAATTTCATTTATAAAAAGCATTCGATAGTCGTGGCTTAACGATAATCATTTAGTCGCACGGCGAGGTTGTTACATATGCTTTAGTATACAAATGAATCAATGATTTTATTCGAATGAAACCATTCGATAGTTGAAATCATTCATTCAGTAACCATTCGATAGTCTAATTCATTCGATAGTTCCCATCGCTACAAAATATTGTTATCACATTCGGTGACAGAATGGTGAATGCGCCTAAGAGCAAAATATATCGGTATTTTTCATATATTTACATAAACGTTATTTTTTCAAGGATAGTTATTATTTACAAGTTATTATTTTTTTTAAATAGCAGCCTAGAGTGGTTTTATTCCAATTTCAATATGGCGGAGTTTTGAAATAACCAATGACTAAAGAATCCAAGGACAAATAACACCCTATAGCAAATTGTACCGATGTCACCAAACAGTGCCGTGGCACATATTTTTCTCAATCTAGCTATTTGAAGCAATATTTATATTTTTTGATAATTGTTTTGACTACGCCTATGGTGTATCATCCTAATTAATTACGAAAAAAATGTATTAAAATGTTAACAAAAGGTAAAAACTAGTATCGACGTATAGCACATATCAAGTACATATAGATGTTAATTGAAATTGAAGAATAATTATCGAATTCAATAAGAAAACGCTAAAAAGTTGGAGTGGACTGTTTATTTACCTATGAAACGTAACTCCTGGCTCTTTCTTATCGCTGCTGCTTTTACACTTGAAAGCTGAACAACTAATCACCATTGTAATAAAGTGTATACAAAGTTTACTACACACAAACTATTAAAAATCGCTAAAATTGTCGCCGGTGATCAAATGATGACTCATTCTTTGCCACCAAAAGAAAGGTCTCTAATGCCACAAATTCTGCTGCAGCCCGTATAGGGGCGTTACATATCCTTATATTCTTTAGTCATTGGAAATAACTAATAAATAAAATAATAAATTAAGTAAAATCGGTCTCTGAATGTTCAAAATAACTTGTTTGTTTTTCTCGAAATTTTTTATTGAAAGGAAACAAGAAAATTCTTCATATTAAGTTAAATAAACACCGTATGATCGTAAAAAAGCGGCGTCCAGTTGGCTCGGAAATTATGTTTTCCGCCATATAATTTCACATATAATAAGCATAAAAGTAAATAAGGCGATTTTTTTTCTATCATATCGTACAGTATGTCCCCGGATTGTCTTTACCAGAGAAAAAACTTTTTTATTGTTATATATTGTTTACATTTTTAGAAAAATACATTCTGACAAAAATTTTTGCTTGTTATAAAATGTAATTAATTTTGTTTTTTCCATAGGAACTGTTAAAATTGCCTTATATCTATCAAAAATAGTAGGTAGATATAATAGTACTTTAACAGCAAGGGTAGATTAAATGATACTTTAACAGCGAGGATAGGTTAAAAAACTTTATTTCTTCTCGCACGTTTTTTAATTGCTTCCATTTTTGAAAATTGTTGTATTCCTTTTCATAAGTTATTCGGGATTTAAATGGAAGTAGTTTGGATATGTTTTGGCGTTTGTCGCCTCAGTCTGAATATCTGTTGGTAATTTACTTATTTCATTTTGAGCCATTTCTGGCTTCAATTCAATCAGCAATCGACACGAAAGAGAATTAAAAAATATTGACTCAAAACTGACAACTAGAGACAGCTTTATTTATTTGTAAAATTACATAGAAACCAACGCCAACCCAGCACAATATTTTTTCTATTCGTAATAAATTCCTTGAAATAATAATTTCTGAATATTTTTTAAAACGTAACTCGCTATGGAAAAAATATTGTTTTATACACGACGATAAAATTGCATTATCGTCTCCCGATATTAATTCACTCGCAATTTCATCGCTCGTGAATTAATCTTTTCGGTCGACGATAAAATACCATTTTATCGTCTTGTATAAAAAATAACTATTATACTACTCCAAATTTCCATACCGTTTTAAGGAAAATTAAAAAAAAAAACGTGAAAATATACTTGAATTAAGTCCTAAAAATTTAAACGCGTTTCCATGGTAATATAATTTCGTTTTCGTTCTTTGACATATCCATTGCCTGGAAACTTATATGGTGAAATTTTGGTTTGGTAGTATCCTTGTTTATATATTCTTAAAGTTGGTCAACCGACTAGACAAAATGTGCTGCTAACTGGAGGACAAATCGTGAACCTTTCGGGGCGGAGTCAAAAATATCGATTATTTTCGTTATTTTCCTCAGAGTAATGTAATAATATAGCCCGGGTATCTGCGAACTTTAATAGTGATCAGCTGATTAAGAAATTTAAACGAAACTTTTATTTTACTGTAAATTGTGGATTATTTTTGCCTGTTATTTTAAGAATTCTAAACCGTATTAACAAAGAAATTATTATTTCGATATGTTGGTACATTATTTATAATTTATGATAATTTTATGCTAATTGGCTGTTAATTAATAATTGAAAAAAAGTTACATACCTATTTTAAGTTGATTTAATGCAGGTTTATAAAAGAATCATTTCATTCTTAGATTATTTTATTCTAAATTGAGTGCTTTACGAAATTTACGATATTTTTTTTTTGGCTACCTAATGCTAAACTAATTGGCATGGTATTATTGTTATGGAAATTAGCCAAGAAAGAAAAGAATTGGCTATAACTTGTAATTTTTCGAAAAAAACATATTATACCTATCGCTGAAAAGCTTAAAAAATGGCGCTTTTTATGAAGTCATGGCCAACTATGGTTTACTAAAAAACATATGTTTGTGTCATATGTCAAAAATGACAGACTTTAGAAAAAAAAACACAAACTCATTAGGTATGTGATTATCTACAACTTTTTGTCTAAAATACCGTATGATCGAATAAAAACGGCGTTAGCGATGGCTATGAAATGACGATCAATGATATTTCCCATATAATTTTACATATAAAATGACAGCGACCTTCACTTCATAGCCATCGTTGACGCCGTTTTTATTCAATCATACGGTAGATTATAATGGAATTAGAGACAAGTTTTAAAATAGCCAGAATTTGTTTTTTTCGAAATATCTAATAAGCCTTGAACTTCTCCGAAAAATCCGAAAGGCGCATATTTATGACCCCACAAAACTGCAATTCTTTTCCCATTTAACCGACTCTCTATCTCCAGTAGTTTCCGAGATGCCCATAGAGAACATCGTAGGAAACTCACCATGTATAGTATTTTGAAACTAACTATTGTTATTATTTGACTAGTTTAATTTGATTAATAAGGCTAGATTAATTTAATTTCAAATAAATTTGATCAGATTTTTTTTTCGTATATTCTGCTACCAGAAAACCAAGAGTATATGATAACGCACTTTTCAACAAAGTTGAAGGAAGATATAGTGTATCTATCACAATACTTAATAGAACTACTACAATTATTACAAGAAAAACAAAAAGAAGAAATACCCAAATACGCCTTCACCTACTACTCAACTACAAAATAAACGAATATAATCTCTTAAAAACACTAGACAACTACTTATTCTTGTATTCTACACTGAACAAATTATCAAACTTACTAATTTATCAAACAAAAAGAAAAAATAACAAAATTATCCCTTCACCTATTACTTAACTACAAAATAAACTATAAAAACACTACTAAACTATTTTTGGTAGACTACACTAACATGCTACACTAAACACTATAATTAAACTTAATAAATTAATCTAATTTTACACTACACCTACAAAGAAAAAAGAAATATGAACATTTTCTAAAACTAGAAGAAACAGAACTTCCATACGTGCAACCAGGATAATAGGTCAAGGGGACAAAGAATATAAAATATTTTAAAATGTGCATTCAGAAAGAAAAAATACCTCGAAAATTATCTAAACAAACATTTTTATTTCTTATCAGTGAGAAGCATCGGCCTTGTCGGCCTTGAAGAATTTGTCGGGTATTTACAATGGTCGAATTGTATAATTGCCAGTTTTTATAGCATATCTAATAGATAAAAAGTATCTGGTCGATTAGTAACCAATTGGCACAGTCCGAAAATTATCGATTTTTATTTTCTCTGTTTTTATTGGTAGCTTCAAAATTCAGAGTAACAAAAAATATTTTTCTGTAGGGAAACCGGTCCTGCCATCTAGTAGTCTTAGTCCATAAACGTCTTAGGTTGATCTACTTTAAAAATATATATACAAGGGTAGTATATATAATTTAGTACACCCTAAAACACGGTAATACAATAATACACAATAATTTAGTACACACTAAAAACACGGTATGTCGCTAGTGGTAGGAAAAATAATTTTTAGAGGTTACTAGTTTATTTGGTTGCCTGTGATATGCATATACAGGGTGTTTTCTAATTAATCTAAAAAATAAAAAATCGTTAGAAAACGAATTAAGGCGGGCTCTTAATAAGTATATTTATTTTTTTCTCGACAACCGTTTGATGAACAAGAAAAACTCAAAAGATCAATTTTGTTGAAAAAGGATGGCCAGTCAAGAAAAAAATATATTTTCTTTAAAAAAGCAGTGGTGTACCATTTATGTTAAGCAAAAAAATCGATTTTTTTAAATTTTAACACCCTGTAGAACAGAAAGGAAGTACTTTAGACCTAATGGTTATATAAAAATTGTTTTAAGAACACATGAGGAATCACACCATAATTTTTTTAGACCAATTCGAAAACACCCTGTATATTGTCAACTTGACAATGACTGCTGATAAATAAAAAATACCTTTTCAGTGAAAAAAGCCTGATTTTCGCAGGAAAAATTTTGATTTTTATTGAATTTGGGCCTGCGTTTGCAAATACTCGTTTGTTTTTTACTTTTCTAACTAAATTTTAAATAGCATAGTCAGAAATAGTTTTATTATTTATTAACTGTAAAAATGGTGTTTTCTTGTTGTGTTGCATCTTGCAAAGAAACTAACAAAACTGCAAAAATGTACGTGTTTCCAAAAGACGATAAGGTATGTATCTTAGATAAAAGAAAATATATGGTATGTATTCGTTGTTTGATTTTTTTTTCGTTCGCTTTAAAATCTATAAATCTCGGTCTATTCATTAGACAGCCAGTCGACTTACGATCATTTACATGAAACTCTGTAAAATAAATAAAAAAATAAATTGTAAAATATATATATATATATTCTTATGTTTTATTAAAGTTACTTTGATATACTAATATATCGGTGGTAACGTGGTAACTTTAAAAAAAATCCTTTGAATTCAAATATAAACATAAAAAACATTTACAGCAGAAAAGGCGAAGGCGCTGGGTTATAAACGTGGTCTCCACTAAAAACACGGAGGGGCGCTTTGACCCAAAATTTTACTATTAAGTTTCATATCTATCTTAAAAGTAGATTATTTTCTTTTATCTATGGACATATCGTTGTTGATAGAATTTAAATTAATATCTTATTTTTTGCTGTTTTAAAATGTTAAAGAAGCACAAACTTTATTTAGTTCAATGGTACGGAAAGGCGTTATAATAGTTATTGGAAAATGTGATACTTTAGCAACAGAAAAAATATGACATTAATCAAAATTAATAACCATCTATCAAAGAATGAAATCGATAATAGATTGCTATACAAACGGCTTTTGATTTTTAGGACTAAATTCAATCATATTTTCATGTTTTCTTAGTTTTCTCTAAAACGGTATGGGAATTTGAAAGAGTATAAACGAGATTAACCATTTTAGAACAAGCAAAAATTCTTATATGAAAAATTAAAAACAATCCGGGGACATACTGTATATTATAGGTTATAATTAAGTACTTACAAAGCCTTGAACGATAATCTAAAATCAATCACATTTTCATAATACTGGTACTGGCTGGTCGACTCTGAACACCGTGTTTGCGTGTAGCTAACGAAAAACAAAGCTTCATCTTCGAAGATTTCCAAGCCTCCTTGATGGCTATGTAGGATACGCGTTAAGCGTTTGGCAAGAGCCTTAAAACAAAAGTAATAAATAAATATTTTTAACGTTTCGTTTAAGTAAATTTACTTCTTTGGCTACGGTAACGGCAGTTAGTTCAGTCACGATACTGAGGGCAGTTTCGTTGGCGATTATGACGGGAATATCCAAGTTTATATCCAAGATATACCTGAAAATAAAATATGATTATTTTTCTATGTATCAATCCAGTTTATACAGCAATAATTGATAATATCAGAGATATGAGAGGCAATTATAATTTTTGACAAATATTAATGACAAAATGGTGAAGGAAAATAGTTCTCGTATGAATGTTTGTGGTGTTGCTCATAGATGGCGCTCGCGGAATGAGTGCTCTAATAACTCGCTGCTCGTTTCCGACCGACTTTAACTACATATACCGACGAATGCGCGTATTTCCACTGTGTTGTATGAAAGGAGAGACGGTTAGCACTCCCCTAGACAAGGATGGAAAAACACATATATTGCTTAAGGCACACTTAAGCAACATTTTTTTTGATAAACATTTATATAAATTTTCAACTAATAAAATTAGAATTCTATTCTCAAGGCTCCAGGATCTTGCTCTTTAAATTTCAAAGAATTTTTATATATTACAAATGCAAAGAAAGTTTAGTATTTTTTGTTGATCAAAGAAAATCAGTTAAGTGTTAAGTATTAAGTAGATTCAGAATTATAGGTATTAAAAATTTGATTTTTTTTAAATTTCCTTATAAAAAAGGAGTTAATAAAATTATCAATAGCGGAAACTCCAGGAGTTAATTTTGCCTAAATATACGAGCCCTTTTTCGTAAAAAAATGTTTGTATTTCACGCAATCCTTCAAGGTTATTTGCTTATACAGGGTGAGTCAAGATCACAACTTATGAACTTTTTCGAATACAGTTTACACAAACTAGTATTATTATTTTTTAGTGTGTGGATATCGCTAATCAAAGCACGTTTTAGGTGAAAATCTTATTTGATTAGGTAGATAAAGTATAATAAACAAAAATGGCGTCAAGTAGAAATGGCGTCAACTTGAAAATGACGATCGATGACATTCACCATATAATTATAAAGAATACATAAAAGAAGACAATACATACAGGGTCCGGCGATAGTGCGTCGGGTATCTCTAGCTCCTAGAATGAAAAACTTGGGAATTTTTTTAAGTTTAAACCTAAAGTATGTACAACTTAACAAGTATAGCTAGAGACGTGAGAAAAATAAAATAAGAGACGCCCCTCGATGCGCAGTGGACAGCCCACAAATTTGCTTTAATCAGATTTTTCGTAGCGTAACTGCATCTCTCTTCCGCCGAATGCGTTCTCTCTCTATCGTGTGCGCGACCGGTGCTATCTCCAAGTCTCTTCCTATATTTGTCAAACTGTACGAGGATGTATTTCACGAAAATATTTTAACTTCTATAGGGTGCAGTTGGTGCAAAAAGGTGCGAGTGGATAAGGACGATGTTTTTTAAATGGAACACCCTGTATATTATTGCATTTTTGGTTTCCTTTCAGATCACTTTACCTAATTTTAAGATATGGGTAAATATATTTAAATAATTTCAGAGATATTAATAAAAAAAATAAAAAATATATATTTGGTATTTACTTTAGATGGTCTATACCATAGGCCTATACTCACATTGCTATAAAATATCGTAATCTTAAATCATACAGGATGTTCAAAATTCTACGGCAAACATTCTAAAATATAAAATAATTTTTCTTTGTTTTTTTTATGGAACACCCTGTTATTTTTTATTAAATTGAGAATTAAAAAATTGGTCAAATGAGAGTCGGACTCGCGCACGAAGGGTTCCGTACCATTCATTATCTATACAACATTAGACACTATATTATTATAAACTTTTTTTCCGATTTAGCTGAAATTTTGAATGCGCGTATAAGTAATTTAAAAAAAAATGAAGAAACACATTACTAAAAATTGTATTAATCAATAATAAATATGTAAAAAGTAAAAATGAATATGTAAAAATATGCAAAAATTAAAAAAAAACGATTAAAAAAAAGTCGCCTGGACTAGGATTCGAACCTGCCTTACTAAGGCTCCAACGTCATAGCAGCGTAAAGTCATCCTAAAGCTTTAACCACGCGGCCACCGAGGACTTGAAAGATTCTATGTAAAATTCTTACTTAAAAGATAATGTTTAGAGAAAGTACTTTTTTATTTATAAACATTTATTTAATTCTGTTTTTAGTATTTGGTTTGGTTTGGGCGGCAACATAGATACATTATCTGTGAAAATTTCAACTGTCTAGCTCGTATCCTTGGTCTAGCTATAACGGTTCATAAGATAGACCAGGTGACGGACGGATAGACGGACAGTGAAGTCAGTAATAGGGTTCCCGTTTTTACCCTTTTGGTACGGAACCCTAAAAATGAACATTTTTTATATTTAAAGTATTTCAAAATTTTTAATGGTTTCAATGTTTGGCGTAGAATTTTGAATATCTATATAATATTTTTATTATATAGATATAATATTTATTTATATATAAATAATATTATATAAATATAATATTTATTTATATATATATAATATTTTAAATATATTTGTATGATTTAGGATTACCATATTTATATTATTTATAGCAAAGTAAGCAGAAACCATCCAAAGTACATACCTAATATAGTTTTGATTTCATGACAGTTCTTGTATTTTTAATAATTTTTTAAGGCTGAAAAATATATATTTTTATTTATTTATTTATATCTCTAAAAATATCGAAATATATTTACTCATATCTTAGTATTATGTAAAGAGATCGGAAAGGAAACCAAAAATACAATAATATACAGGGTGTTCCATTTAAAAAAATCATCCCGATCAACTCATACATTTTTCAGCAGCCCTATAGCAGTTAGAATATTTTCCTGAAATACATTCTCATACATTAATTTAGGTTTAACCTAAACAAAATTCTCAAGTTTGTTTTTCTAGTAGCTACAGATGCCCGACGCACTTTTGCCGAACCCTGTATAAAATGACAGCGATCTTTATTTCCAAACGAACTGCCGCGCCGATTTTTTTTCAATCATATGATATGTTATATACAGAGCGTTCAAACAGCTACTCAGTTCAACAGAACTCTAATTCAGATGGCATATGAATATATTTTGTGCCAAATACACGTGGACATTAAGTACAGTTCAGTCAAGAATCGCAGAGAAATGAAGTTTGGTAAAGTGTGAAGTTGCGGTTTTATGTAAAGTGATAAAATGACTCTCTAACCTAATTACATCGACCTGCTATCTATCGAAGTCCCGTTTTCTAATGTTAGGTAAGTTTTTTACTTTTAATCTGAATTTTCCAAGTCGTTTTTAAATCTTTCTAGTCGATGTGTCAAAACTGTCAACGATTTATCGATCGCTGCAGGCGGCTCTCAAAATGTTGCCATTATTTTTTTAATTTTCAAAGTTAAATAACTCGGTTATTATTAATTTATTTTAAAGAATGGTAAACAAAAAATATTATGTTTCTTTTGGCGAGATCTACCACCTCTTAAAATACTTGCACTTATTTCTGGGATACCCTTGCAGTGTTGTATTCACGTACCTTGATAAACATGTAGCTGCTTTTTCCACAGATTTAAAGGATTCATTCACTGTCATATGAAATGGAGACAGTATCTTCCTGTCCGCCGTCCAAAGACTGTCATAAGGCAAAATGGCAGATGTCATTGCTTGCGCTATCTCCAACCCTAATCGCCCATACACTATTGCTATAGGAAATCCATCTTCATAATATGGTTCGGTCAGCAAACTTCTTGGAACTATAACTTGATTTTTTGAAGCTAAATACTGGACTTGCGGTGTTTCTTTTAGATATTCCTTCAAAAATCCTCCCATGACAAGAGATTTAACAAGCATCCTTTCTTCTATTGCCTTTTTAAATAGCATGGCGTTCTTGACACTTTCGAAAAAATTCAACTTGATAATGGTCAAGGGAGTGTAGTAATTCTTGACGAATTTTAGTGATTTCACGTCATCTGGAAGGCCTACTTGGATTGAAACAGTCTTGAGCTAAAAAATGCCATAATATTAGTAATAATATTTATTATACAGGGTGCTCTGAATTGTCTTCGGGAAACTTCGGCAGCATATTCTGCAGATAAAAATAAGTAAAAAAGTTCATATAGTAAGTACTAAATTGCTTAGTTTTGAAGGTACAGAGTGTAGAAGTTTCATTTTTATTTTGATTTTTGAACTAACGTCGACATTTGGATGAAAATTGGCGTTTCAGAGTTTTTTGATACAAGAAATTTGATTTCGATGTCAATATGACTCCTACTTGTAGAGGGCGCTACCTACATATTTTATAACTGGTTTGAAGAGTAATAACTTTTCGTCCGTATCTGTATAAAAGTACTGAGCAAAAAATATACAGAGTCTCTCAGATTTTAATCGGGACAATTTAATAGACGATAGAACTTGCAAAAATAAAACAAAAAGTTCATATCAACTTGTAAGATTTAAAGCTTCCTTTTCGAGATACAGGGTACCATTAGAATACCAATTATAATATTAATTAACAATTAGAATTTAATTTTTTTCGCAAGAAGTAAGCAAGATAGACAAAAAAGTCAGGAGACAAAAAAATAATATTTTTAATTACTAAATCCAAAAATAATATTAAACTTCTAAAAAAGCAGTGGCGTGCCTACTTTTTCCTTTAAAATAATTTAACAGTAATGCCCCACCGCCGCCCCTGGCCAATAACCTTAAATCTAATTACATCAAATTAAGTTCCATAGTAAGTATTATAAAGGGGTCAAGTTATATCCAAATCGATTAAATAGTTTTTCAAATATCTTTTTTTTAAGTAACTTTAACACCCTGTATCTCGAAAAGGATGCTTTAAATCTTACAAATTGATATGAACTTTTTGTTTTATTTTTGCAAGTTCTATCGTCTATTAAATTTTCCCGATTAAAATCTGGGACACCCTGTATATTTACGATGTTTCTTACGTAAAAAAATGCTCTGGTGGAAAGTGCAATAATGCCATGTATTGACTATTTCCATTCAAAATATCTTGAGAACGGTTGCTCTTAGCGATTTTTACCAAGAGTCGTTTTTTGACCTAAAAATGACGGAAATGTATACTTTTTCACTCAGTAGTTTTATATATAATAGGTACGGAGGAAAAGTTATTACTCTTCAAAACAGTTAAAACACATATAGGTGGCGCCCCCTACAAATAGGAGTCATATTGACATCAAAATAAAATTTCTCATGTCAAAAACCTGCCAGACACCAATTTTCATCCAAATATTAATGTTACTTCAGAAATTATTTGGAAAAAATCGAAATAAAAATGAAACTTCCACGCTCTGTATCTCCGAAACTAAGCATTTTAGGACATATATTTATACGAACTTTTTTTCTTATTTTTATCTGCAGGATATGCTGCCGAAGTTACCCGAGTACAATTCGGACCACCCTGTATTATGTGTTTCAGAGAGCATTTTCTCCACACAAGAATGTTTAATTTTCTGAAGTGGATATAATGCAACTGAAACACGAATGTAATACAAAGTCTTATCCACACACTTATCCAACACAAATTTATTTAAAAAAATTATTTAAAATTATAAAAATTTGATAGGAAAAATTAGCAGCAAGTATATTGATACAAACAAAAGCTTGATACAAGTAAAATTCGGAATTTGAAAAGAATTTGCAATTTTTTTTTTGAAACCCACCGAGAAATGCAAACAGATGATGGTATGCCTGCAGCAATATTTGCGGAGACTCAAGAAGCAACTACCAACTACCCATTTACTAGGGTTGCCAACTTTCAAAACAAAAGATAGGGGGCGAAAGGGTAAAAATAAACAGCACAGGCAAAACATTTTTTGAAACCTCGCCCAAATGTCTAAAATTTACCAAAAAGTTATATCAACGGTATGCGATTGGTTATTATATTGTATCTTTCTTACTTTCTTACAAATATTTATACTAAAAACAACTTGTTAAAATAAAACGAACCATTTTCAACCAAACTTTTTTTTCAAAACACAGCTAACAGTAAGTGAACATAAATTAAATATGTTTATCGTTTTCACAAAAAATTATTGTACATAAATACCTATTTCTTCATTTTCTTTTCTGTACAAACGAGTAGCGAAAGACACAGATTAGCAATTTTTTAAAGCATTGTAGCGATGGATATATATTTTTTAGATTTTGAGTTTGGTATGTAAAAAAGAGGACTTTTTCTCTTAGTTGCATTAAGTAATCTTTTAAGAGTTGCATTATATCCACAAGAGAAAAAAGAGGACAATGAGATCAAAAAGAGGTTTGTCCTCTGGAACAGAGGACGGCTGGCAACACTAATTTGCTGCCTGCGAAGTCTAGAGAAAATTAGGAAAAATGTTTATTCCACTAGTAGAAGAAAGTTATTTTATCCCACTATTGGATAAAACATTACTTTAAACGCTGCATTATGAGTGGATAAAACTCCCATTATTGTATGACTGTAGCTAAATATATTTTATGAAACTTTATACTAACTTTATTTTCCAAATGTTGATGTAACAAGGGTGAATTTTGAAATTTTTTCAGTTTTTGTTTTAAGACTTTCGAAATATCACTGAATATCGTGTTGACATTTTCTTTAGTAATATTTTTAATTGGAGAAGAATTTTCAAGTAGATATTCTGTAGCCAAACCCATGTGGGTTTTTATTAAACCGGCACAAAATTCCCAACGTTTTAATGGTGCCGATATCCCTGAAAATAATAAATATATTGTAACAAAATAGATATAAATAAATAAATAAAACATCACAATTCAAATAAATTTAATTTACAAAAAAATAACGTGTAACAGTAGCAAAATAAAAACACTAAATCACCACAATACACCAAAACACTTTTACTTTTACACTGGACGCGTGTTTCGCTAACCATGTTAGCATCATCAGCAGATGATTATAAACTCTATATACTAATATTTTGAGTTTGAGTTTATAATCATCTACTGATGATGCTAACATGGTTAGCGAAACGCGCGTCCAGTGTAAAAGTAAAAGTGTTTTGGTCATAGACTTAGAATAAAATATAGACTGAGCATCTCATTCATAAATAGCTGGAAGATGCGGACAGACAACGTCTTGTTATTGTTGTGTTATTGTTTTTGGCTCTAACGAGTGCGACACGAGCGATAGATAGGCTGTCTCCGTCGTAACGGTCGTTTCCTGACGGCTCTGCCGCCCAACGCAACACTGTCTTATGTTTTCTTCAGTGCACCTGCACTCTCCGTATCATAGGCGGGTATTTTTTTAATTTTAATGAAGCTATAATTCAATTAAAAATATATCGTATTTAAACTTTTTATATTATTAAGATTTAGGATAAAAGAAAATAGTTTAATATAAAGCAAAGTTTAGGACTTAGAAAAAAAATACGTCTTAGAGTCTAAAAACGATAAAAATAATAAAGTACGTGTTATAGAAGAAATTTTAATAATCGAAATTATTTAATTTTTGAAATTGATGATAAATTATTAATTTAATAAAATATTAATTTTAGTCAAACATTTACAACTCTAATATTAATCAAAACAGGATCTATTCTATAGATATAATAGAACAGAAAGAGAAAAAACTTTATAATTGTTTAATTTTTTTTTCCGGTAAAAGTGATGTCTTATTATGTAAATTAGAAAAAACAGGAATCTGTTCCATTAAAGCAAGCTTTTAGGAAGTGAATAAAATGAAAACTACATTTATTTAACTCGTTACTGTCTTTATTATAGAGTAAGTATAATAATGGTAATGGTGACTATACTTTATTCAATGGAAATATGCACCAAATTCAAACAAATATAAAAGGCATGAGTATAAACAGTATTACTACAGTAATATTGAACATTGGTTCAAAAATATTACATTAATATAATACAATATTACTGTAGGTATTACTGTCAACGTGCAAGCTTGTTTGAAGCTTGATGTATTTGTATGCGCTTGGTACATCTTGGCGTTGGAAAATGTATAGAAAATTATTAAGAAAAACTAGTACGTAATGGGGGATATCTTGATATACAGAGTGGTCGGAATTGTATTCAGGAAACTTTGGCAGCATAATCTGCAAATAAAATCAGTAAAAAAAATAGTATAAATTTATGTCCTAAAATGCTTCGTTTCAGAGATACAGAGTGTAGAAATTTCATTTTTATTTCGCTTTTTTCCAAATAATTTATGAAGAATGTATTGATTAATTCGTTTCCAAATATCTTGAGAACTATACTTGTGGCGAGTGTCAACAAGAGACCTTATTAAGTAAAAAACGTTGGAAATGTAAATTTTTCTCAGTAGTTTTATATAGATACAGACAAAAAGTATTACTCTTCAAATAACTTAAAAAATATGTAGGTGGCGCCCCCTATTAGTAAAAGTCAAATTGACATCTAAATCTAATTTTTCATGTCAAAAAACTCCCAAACGCCAATTTTCGTCCAAATATTGACGTCACTTCAGAAATTATTTGGAAAAAAATCGAAATAAAAATGAAACTTCTACACCCTGTATCTCCGAAACGAAGCATTTTAAAAACTTACAAGTTCATTTTTTTAGAAAGCCAATGCAACATTTCTGAGTTTCAAATAAAGATAAAAAACAGTAAAACATATAATAATAATATGTAAATTATTTTCTTGGATACATACATATATGGCAAATAATAACAGATTGTTTTATTAAAGATTTACGTTTTGGTTAATTCTAAAACTATCTTCAGATTATATGTGATATTACTTAAGTGATATTACATTATAAAAGAAAAAATGAAAATTATACCTTATAATCGAAAAAAAACGGCGTCAGCGATGGCTATGAAATGAAGATCGCTGTCATTTTATATGTAAAATTATATGGAGTATGTATCGATGGTTTTTTCCAAGCCAACTGGACGCCGTTTTTTTCGATCATACGGTATTACAAATTAATAATAGATTAACAGTCGAGAAAAAAAAAGAAAAAACTCTAGGTAAGTACTGGATAAATTTTAAAATGGCATATTTATTTTATCTTTGTTTAATATAAAAAAAACGAAATATCTACCTGGTTTACATAACCCTGTATAATTTGTGAAATAATAATGGACAAAAATGCAAGCGGTAAGAAAAATATTTACAAAAAATATGTACTTGTTTACATTTCTGGACCATTGTTCGTCATTTTTGTTATCATAATGGTGACCCTATCATAAAAACGTAGTTATTTCTATACCTGATGTGAAACTATAGGGAAAAAGTAATGTTTGTAAAATATTTTAGTCTTGAAAAAAAATAAGGAATGTTTGGTATTTTAAAATGTTTGGTAGCTTGTAATTTTTTCGACTTTCTCGATTGTTTATAGTTTATAATAAGCCTTAAAAATTGTTGTTTCATAATGGAATATCATTCTGGAATTCCTGTATGTTATTTTAGATTCTAAGGATGGTTTTAGAATAAAAAGAAACACATTTTTCATAAAAAAAAGCATTAAATTAACCAATGCCCAAGAAAATAATGTGTCTACTTCTTATGTACTTAATAATGTATCTACTCGTTATATTAATAACGAGGTTAGTAAGAACCTTTACGTAAATGATAAATATAAAAAATACAGATTTTCCAGGGTTTATAATTTACTAAATTATTATCTAAATAAGCGCCTTTCTACAACGCCACTGACGCCAAAATAGTAAATTTGACTTACCTGTGGAATGTTGTTCCAGGACTTAAATAGTCCAATTTCTTACAAATTTGGCACTGACGAACCATGTTTTATAGTTTTTAAATAAAAGTAATCAAAATAAACACTAAACCGACACTACACACTAAGAAAATCGAATCCAAAAAAATACAAAATCAAAACATCCAATAAAAACAATAAAATAGCCATGGCGAAACTGTGACAACAAGGTTTTACGACACGTGCTTTACTCTACTATGGCTCTACTACGAGAGAATAAAGAATGAACAGGCGACCCGGCGATTGATGGTGTTGCCAAATTGTAAAGAATTTGTCATTTTTAAATAGTCTCCGACTTATAATTTAGTAGTATAGGGACTATTTAATACATCTTTCTACTATTAAACACTACTTTATTAAAATACAGTTTTAATATCTCAATATATGTGTATAACAACAAAAAAAATATTAATAATATTTTAGACGTGACAACATAGGCTGGAGGCGAAAGACTCAGACGGCCGAGGTCAGCTGCACCCAGGAGTAAACATGTTTACAAAAATTAATATTGGACCGCGCTTAAATGTAAATAGTGTAGTCTATATTTTATTCTAAGTCTATGGTTTTGGTGTATTGTGGTGATTTAGTGTTTTTATTTTGCTGTGTAACACCAAAGGTTCCAACCCTCAACTGTAATCTTCGAGTGTAACAGTAGCCAAAAAAAAAAAATGAAATGACAATCTACGATAATTTTTATCGGGTCAATCCCTAATGTCACTTATTAAATTTTTAATGTTTTATAATTCAAAGGCTATTGCGACGCTTTTCATATTTCATTTTTTTTTTCGAAGCTACACAATTGAAATGGGAAGAAAAAGATCTTTCGAAATAACTTAAAATATGCAGGGTGTTGTATTAATATACAGGGCGTCCCAGAAATAAGTGCAAGTATTTTAAGGGGTGGTAGATCTCGATAAAAGAAACATATTTTCTCTTTATCGTTTTTCAAATAAGTCCAAAATAACGGAGTTATTTTACTTTGAAAATTTCCAAAAAATGATTTTTGCTCAAATTTTGAGAACCACTGCACCTTTTCTGGATTTTCTTTCTTGTAAATTTAATCTACTACCTATGTATGTTGCCATATTAACAAGAAATTATGTTTTTTAACTAAAAACTGAAAAAAATTCCAAAAAATGTTTCAAAAAATTTCGAATTTTCAAAAAAAAATGTTTTGAAAAAAAAACTCATAGATGTGTTTCTGGGGTTAGACTATACTACCAGTTAAAAAAACTTGCACTTATTTCTGGGACACCTTGTATATAAAAAAATAATAAGACTTACGAATCTGCATTAAAAGTGTACTGTTTGACCAGCGGATCTGTAGCTACGGAAGGAATGCGAGAAAAAAAAATCGATATTGCCACGTTTATCTATAAAATTGCAAAATTGCCAGACATGAACTATAAATTTAATATATTTTTATTATATATAATGTGTTTAACATATATTCTGACGTATATTACTAAGGAATTTTAACGTAGTTCATATTGTTCGATATGTTTTATTTAATAACTTATTTCTTTCATTCTGTATAATCTGCCTATTATGAAAGTTGAAGATTTTCAACGATATCATTGGCAAACCGGCATCGCCGCGCATGGCCGCCTATTCATCGAACATGATTGGCAAGTACGTCACAGGATTTGTTACCACGCGGTTGCTATGGCTTTACGCCTTTCCTATTCGCTTGCTTTATCCCCAACTTCACGGTCTCTTCTGAAAAGAGTAGGAATATTGAATACTTGAAATATCCAGTGGCGGTGTCATTTTTTTGATCATTATTACTTTATTTCATTATTTTATACCGGTTATCCTAAACTTTATTCCTATATTTTTAGTATATTTATATTATTTGATAGTTAAGTTGTGTTTTATTGTTTTGTTATCTTGTTATAATATTTTTCGTTCGTAGTTTTTAATTATTAATATCAAGTTTGATCGTATATTTGTGTTTTAAAACGAATAAATTTGTTAAGGGTAAGACGCTACATAGTCAGACAAGAGAAATAATAGCTAATTTATATAGGTAAGTTAATAATAACGTGGATGAAATCTCATTTGGTTTATTTTTGTGTTCATAATAGGGTTTGCGATGAAGAAGCTACAGAGAGTTCACTTGAGTTGCCGCTTAAACGTAAACTTGAGCGGATATTTCTTTATACCGGAGTTAGCGTATCGGCTATAAAAATTCACACAGAAGATAAAAAAAAGGCTGGAAAACTAACCCCGATAAATGATATCCCCTCTGGAAAGAAACGACCACGTGAGACTGCTGTCGAAAAGCTCAACGACTTTTCGAAGTGGTCAGGAATTTGATAAATAGATTTTATCTCGAATTCAAACTCGTCCCCACAATTAGAAAGCTTTTGCAAAATTGCAGGAAGAATCGAATTTTCCTTTTGCAGGGAAACGCTTAGGGGTTATTAAATCAAATGAATTTTTTTGGCGTAAATGTTAAAAATAACAGATAAATATTAATGGAGCGGCCCATTATATTGCAGAGAGAGATATAAATATATATACGCGAAATTTGAAAATATAGCCAAGTATTATCTATTTGGATGTAACATATGGGTAGACAATGACCTAACCTTTAAAAACTGCTGGCGGAGCTGATACCATATCTGGTGTAATAGGCAACATCAGATCTACTGATGAGTAAAATTATGTTTTGTTTGCGCTTCCAAAGTTAACTATTTTCAAGATTTTTTTGCTGGAAATAGTTATATCTAAAATTATGTATTATAGAAAAAATATAGTTAGTACAGATATATAAATAAATATACCTCAAGACTCAGTCTTGATCATCTGCTGATGGCAGACATGGTTAGCGAAACGTGCGTCCAGTGTAAAATTAAAAGTGTTTTGGTGTATTGTACTGATTTTAGTGTTTTATTTTGCTGTGTAACACCAAAGGTTCCAACCCCAGCTGTAATTATTTCTTCTATTATATTAACAACACAATAATAAAATGATTCAAAATATTTAAGGGAGCTTTAATAAAAGCTTTTAGTGTTTATCTGCTAACTCAACAGTAACGATTCAAACAGCATAAAGTTTTTTGAAAAAAATTATTAATCTGAGTATTATATTTATGATACACATTATTTTCATATAACACCGTACGCCCATGCCTATTTTATGAATGAAATTGGGCATGTTTTGTTTACAACTGCGTTCCCCTGCCGATACCCCGTAGCTACAGATCCGTTGGTCACACTATATGCATGTCCTTACCGAAAAGTTCTGAATGAAAAGAATCCAACGTAGACGTATAGCGATTGGCCAAATACGGGAAATAATTTCTTACTAAGGTCCAAATTAAGTAGCCGTTCATTGTTCTTTGATCTGTGGTCGAAATTATTTGGGACATGGCTGCCAGATAATCCAAGGAAGTAACTATAACTTCTGTATTTTCTGTAATGTTGGCTTTGAGATACATGTTTTGCAGAATATCATAAAAAGGAACCTAAAGAACATAAAAAGTTTTAGTCTGACAGTCAGACACAGACCCACGCAAGAGATTTTTAACTGACTGATGTAAATGGGCATCATTAGAGGCATTGCGTCTTAATTCAGTTCAAGTAAAATGAACCGTTTTTTTTGTCTACACACAAGGTTTTACCTGAAACGGTTTGACTGAACAGGTAAAACGTTATGTGTAGACGGGGCTTTACTTACCATGTTGTCTTTTAGTTCTGACAGAGTGAAGGCATTATAAGTAGTTATGGGGTGACGCAGTGAAGCTCTATCTGGAGTAATTTCTGCCAATCTTTTTTCATAACTGAACATATCCTCGGCAAATTTGGAAGCCTCTGTCTTAGTGGTACTTAAATGTATCACTACATCTCTGATATATTTTATATAGGCCACACGAATCTGAAAAAAATATTTGATTCTTTGTAATTGATTAATTGTTATTTTTAGTTTACAAAATGTTATCAAACTAAACTATACCATTGAGATGGCTTGAAATTGAAGATTCCTGTTATTTTATATCATATGATCGAAAAAAAGGCGTCAAAGACGGTTGGGGAATAAAAATTTGTAAAAATTTTGGCAAGGTCAAGCACTAGCTTAAATTGAGATATGATTTTTAAAGGGTCTAAATTAAAATTCGAGAAGAACAATTTTTGTGTGTTTGGAAACATTGTATTCTTTTTTAATCTTTCTGTAATTAGTGCTAATTTTTGACAAGTTTTTTAACAAATTTTAGTAAATGATGTTTAGAGAATGATCATCGATTTCGTCATTCCCTGCCGTCTTTGACACCGTTTTTTTTCGATCTTACTATATAAATAAATAAATGCTTTTATTGTCAAAAAATTTTACAATTTGTAGACAAAGGAAAAGTATACAAACAAAAGAGAATACAAAACAAGTATACAAATTACATTGTCAGTCTTATTGTTTAAAATTAACATTTATAAATGTTTACAATGTCAAAGAATAAAAGAATAAAAATAAGATTCAAACATATTTAGTAACTTTATAGTAAATACAGGGTTGTTCACCACATACGACACGGAATATTGTAGCTAAACGATTAGATTTTTACAAATTGTAAGTTTTGGGTTCGTTGAAGGACTATTAGAGCTACAATTTAAAAATATTTTTACAAGATACAGAGTGTCCCAAATAAATAAAAAATATCAAAGTTCATTTTTTTAATTGGAACACCCTGTATATTATTGCATTTTTAGTTTCTATGATTAAAACGTTTTTGAAATATTTTCAATTTTGTAAAATTGCAGTATAAATTTTAAGGCTTCATTTCTCCGAGGGTATCAAAGTTTTTAATACTAAATATTTACTGAAGTTTATTTATTGATCAGTTATTGTGTTGCAATAATAAAAATTTTACTACCTAATACAGAGTGTCTAAATATTTATTTTAAATAATTATTAGCTTTAAATGGCAATAACTTGTTTAATTTAAACGGAACACCCTGTATATTTTATGAGAATCAGATGCACAATTTAATTGTCTATCAAATTGTATTATACCATTTTTTACCTATCTCTTCAAGCTTCCGTAGAAAATGCATTTTCTTGTAATTTAGAACTCATTTATCAATATATCCATGAAATACTGACATTTTATATTATTTTTAAAGATGTACCAAATTTTTAAAGAGTACAGATACTAATATTGTCAATATAGTTCGTTTATTTCATTAAAAAAATTAAAAAAAAAACGGTTTAAATGTTTGTTTTAAGAGGACCAATTAATATGATTCCAGTATTCAAACTACATTAATTGACTGTTTGCGCTGATTAATAGTAATTGCTCCAAATACTAAAAAACTAAATTATTTATGTATCTTAGACAGTGTAGTAAAAAAACTAACACCTTAAAAATTATATATTTCATTTTTTGACGAATGCCTATTTATAACAACAGAGACGTTCATTTTCATAACTTATTATTATATTGATTTCTGATTCAAATCCACATTTATTTACAATAATTTATTAACGAACACAATTAAGTACGTAATTAATTAGTATTTGGGCGGAAATACTGGTGGTATATTTAATTAATGGTATACTCTTTTATATAGATTTAAATAGTTTTCTTTTTGCATACAAATCGGCTAGTAATATCATCGTTTTACTAAAAACGATAATATTACTAGCCTGTACATTTTGTACATTTGTTGTTTTAAAAACAATCTAAAATGTCAATATTCCATGGGTATATTGATAAATGAGGTCTAAATTATAAGAAAATGCATTTTCTACGAAAACTTGAAGGGATGGATAAAAAGTGGTATAATACAGTTTGATAGACAATTAAATTGTACATCTGATTCTCATAAAATATACAGGGTATTCCATTTAAATTAAACAAGTTATTGCCGTTTAAAGCTAGTAATTATTTAAAACAAATTTTTAGACACTCTGTATAAGGTAGTATAATTTTTATTATTGCAACACAATAACTGATCAATAAATAAACTTCAGTAAATATTTAGTATTAAATACTTCGATAGCCTTGGAGAAATGAAGCCTTAACATTTATACTGCAAATTTACAAAATTGAAAATATTTCAAAAACGGTAAGGTTTAAGTGTAATACACCTTAATCAAATTTACATTTATTTTAATCGTAGAAACTAAAAATGCAATAATATACAAGGTGTTCCATTTAAAAAAATACAACTTTGATATTTTTTATTTATTTGGGACACTCTGTATCTTGTATAAATATTTTTAAATTGTAGCTCTTATAGTCCTTCAACGAACCCAAAACTTACAATTTGTAAAAATCTAATCGTTTAGCTACAATACTTCGTGTCGTATGTGGTGAACAACCCTGTATAGTAATAGCAAATATTAGACCAGTGTTTACAAGATCAAATTCGATTATCAAAATATAAGTCATTTACGGCGTAGAAAGTCTTGTCTAGTAAATAAGATTTCAATGCTTTGCGAAATGAAGAAATGATGTTATGGATTTGATTTCAAAAAGCAGGTGATTGTGCATTTTTTTCGAGTTGTATAATATTGAACCTTTAACTAACTCTGGGCGTGGGGTAGGTAGATAAAGATCTTGCTCCGCGTTCCTGAGTGGATAAGTCTGAGACGGCCTTTCTTGAGAAGCTGATACATGCTTACATATTAGGCAAACGGATTCAAACATAAATAAGGAAGGAAGAGTTAATATTTTCAATTTTTTAAAAAGTCCTGGCAATGAGTTCTGCTGTTTAGTCCCAGTGAATATCGAACAGCTCTCTTCTGGACCTTGAAAATGCGGTCAAATTGAGTCGCACAACACGTACCCCAGAATGGAAGGGCATATCTGAGGTGTGAGTCAAAAAGTGCATAAGAAACAGTTCTAGAAACTAACAAGTTAAACTCCTTAGAAACAGATCTTAATGCAAAACAGGCAGAGCTTAATTTTTTCGACAAAGCATCGACATGCATGTCCCATTTTAGATAATTGTCTACAATATATCTACAGGGGGTTTCAAAAGAAATGCGAAACAAACTGAACTTTAAGGGGTGATTCGTTGGTAAAAATAAAGGGTAGTTACCAACCATAAAAAGGAATAATAAGCTATTTATGCAGAGTGATTTTACATACATACTACATACATAATACATACATTTGATTACAGTGATTTTAAACATTGTTTAAAATCACATTTTTTACCCTGCATACAAGTTTTGCATATCCCAGTGGCAAATGTCGATAGCGAACGAGCTTTTTCAGCCTATGGAGATATTCTCTCCCCTAGACATTGCAGACTTTCTCCTGAAAACGTTGAAGTTATGATGTGTATGTATTTTGGAGATGATTGTTCGGATTGGGTTGTCGAAGATGATGTTGAAACTTAGCTTTTTTATGAGATTAATATTTGATAATATTATTAAACTTTTGTTATCTTGTCACAGATCTTGTTAAGATGTTTTATAGTTACCAAAAAATGACATTGTCTAAATATAATACATAGGCCAAACAGGTAGAAATTTAGATATAAGGATTAAAGAACATGTAAAGTCTATTAATAATCTCCAGCATAGTTCTGGTCTTGCAACTCATTGTATAGTAAATAATCACAAAATTAATGTAAACTCAATTAAGTTACTACACAGAGAAACAAAAGGTAGACGCTTAAATTACATTGAACAGTTAGAAATACTAAAATCTGTTAAAAACGAAAATAATGTTAACGACCAACAAGGATTTCTAAACACATTTTTTATTACCCCTATTGTAAACTCTCTGAACCCACCCCCATAGCAAATATATATATAGTTATACAGTGTAGTTAGACGATTAGTTCTTAAAAAACTCTTGAAAAAGGCCTAACAAGCCGAAACATATATGTAGAGTTAAAGTTACTCTTATTAAAAGTTTTTTGAAACATCTAAAAGCGTGCTTTATTAAAATACTAATATTTCAACGATGTTTCATAAGGAACCAACCACAGCTTCAGTTCAATTTAATAAATATAATATGTTGCGTTTTGTGAAATCTGGTGTTTTTTTCTGTTTTTAAAAACCTTTAACGAAAATACCGACATTTATGCAATTTTTTACGTAAAAACAGAAAATTACTTTTCTAGGAGCATTTTTTTCGCATAATAAGTAACTTTTTAACGCATAATAGCCGCATAATGAGCCATTTTTGGGCGCATAAAAGCCGCATAATATAACAAAACTTTCGCATAAAATAGGGGGTTGTAAAATGTATAATCTGCACATCTCTATGAATATCATCGATATTCATTTCGAGTCCTCCGGCATTTGGACGTACTGTATATATTTCGGTGACAAAGTGCCCCCTGTGGATGTTACAAGAAAATATAATATATTCGAATTTCTCCGAGAGTTATGCAAAAGGGCATCGTTCCCATAAATTGTCGAATTACGCGGGCCGGGTGTTTTTACACGTACGTCCCGAAAAAAGTGAAACCGCAACGAACCGGAAAAAGGTAAAAATATCGATTGCATCTCAACCGCGATCGACAATAATCGACGACCAAGCCCTTGCGGACGGGAAATTTCTCTTTCGCATGCTTTTATACCACCGGTTAGTGTTTTTTCTCATTAACTTTTCTTCGGTATCGATATTATTTAATGTCACTAACAAATTGGATGGATTGGATTTTTAATTAAGTTTAATTGCGTATCACCACAAATGCCATATTATGCAGTAGGGTGTCCGTTATTTCTCAAGTTGAATTTTTTTTTGCTGCCGCCCTCTGAAATTTTAGATTTTGCTCTAAAAAATTATCCAACATAAATAAGTTCTTAATTTTTAATTTAAACAGTGTCGGAATCATGATATTTTTCTCATTTAAATAACATGGGATTATCTGATCTTTTGAATTTAATTTTTTATCTCCAAAGCAAATGAACCTACAGCTTACAAAATTTTACGCTCTACAAAAAGGTCTCTCTGATTTTTTCCATAAAAACATTCCTTTAAAAGTTATTCGCGGTAAAAGTTATGCACATAGTTTATAATCATATTTTTCTATCATTCACTACGTGTTTAAGAGTTTTCCGAAAAACTCACCGGTTTTTAAATAAAAAATATTTTAATATTTGAGGGATAGTTTCACCCCTTAGAATTCGAGTTTCCCGAATTCGAAAAATCCCTTCTTATCGAACCTCTACACTCTAAAGTCAATATGTTTTCCAAAAATCAGCTTTTTACGTCAAGCTCTTTAAGCAGGATCGTGATTAATCAATGATCAGATCTCTCGAAACACCCTGTATACATTTTTAAAAAATCTTAAAATATGTAAAAAAACAAAATAAAATATACGTGTTTAAGCGTTTTGCGGAAACTTGACCGTTTTTTAAATAAAAAATATTGTAATATTTGAGGGGTGCTTTCACCCTCTTGGAACTGGAATTTCGAAAAATCCCTTCTTATCGAACCTCTACACCCTAGAATCAACCTGTATGCCAAAATTGAGCTTCTTACGTTGAGTGGTTTGAACAGGATCGTGATTAATCAGTATGTCAGTCACTTAAGGATTTTATATATTAGTATAGATAGATGATCGAAAAAAAACGGCGTCAGCGATGGCTATGAAATGAAGATCGCTGTCATTTTACATGCAAAATTATATGGGGAATGTCATCGATCGTCATTTCCAAACCAACTGGACACCGTTTTTTTTTCGGGGAGATCGGTATTAATACCATTATAAACCTACCTAAGTTCGAAATTATATATGCAGAATTTCGATTTCTTATTTTGACGCATGGGACATTTTTTAAATGTAAAATCAAATATTTATATATTCAATATTCCCAAAAAGAGATATCGACAGATTATTTATTTTCACTTTTACTTTAATTTTGTTTTCATTTCCTCCAGCTAAATTCCAGCAATACTTGATTTTTCATCAAGAATTACTAAATACATCAAATATTTCCACTTATTGCTTTTTAAATTAGATATACTCGAAGATATGTATTTATTTCCTTAAGTTGGTCATTAACCCTAGACTATTTAGTATGTGGAGTTTAGGGTGCTTATAAAATTCTAATGGCACAAAAACAAGATTAATAGTTATTTTTTATACAAGACGATAAAATGGTATTTTATCGTCGAAGAAGATTAATTCACGAGCGATGAAATCGCGAGTGAATTAATTTCGGTACACGATAATGCAATTTTATCGTCGTGTATAAAAAAATATTTTTTTCCATAACGAGTTACGTTTTAAAAAATATTCAGAAATTATTATTTCAAGGAATTTATTACGAGTAGAAAAAATATTGTGCTGGTTTGGCGTTGGTTTATATGTAATTTGACAAATAAAAAAAACTGTCTCTTTAGTTGTCAGTTTTGAGTCAATATTTTTTAATTCTCTTTCGTGTCGATTGCTGATTGAATTGGAGCCAGAAATGGCTCAAAACAAAATAAGTAAATTACCAACAGATATTCAGGCTGAGGCGACAAACGCCATATCCAAACTACTTCCTTTTAAATCCCGAATAACTTATGAAAAGGAATACAAAAATTTCCAAAAATGGAAGCAATTAAAAAACGTGCGGGAAGAAATAAAGTTTTTAACCTATCCTCACTCCTTGCGGTTAAAGTACTATTTTATCATCTACTACTAGTTGAAGCCTGGCGCATCCGCTACGACGCGACATCAGGAAAAAAAATACTTATTTTTTATAAATTAAATGAAAAACAAAAAATCCGGCGACGACAGTTTTTAGAAGAGCCAATTAACTATCTTTTAGTAAAAAAAGCAAATTTCTAGAGCAAATCGTTACTTCAGTAGAGACGACACAGATAAACATTAACATTTTATATATGTAGATTTTTGATAGATATAAGTCAATTTTAACAGTTGCTATGGAAAAAAATATTTTTTATTGCAGTATCCTTGGTTTTGCAAAAAAGAACCACCTGGAGCTCGAAACTACCTTTAGGCAGTACCCACAGTTACTAATTAAACGAAAAACCCCTCAGCTACAACCAAAATAAAACAATGTGTTCTTCTAAACTAAATTTTAGTACATTTTGTATCTCAAACTTACTGGATCATCGCGATCTCTATAGTAGTACTCCTTATCGGGCAGACCTAATCCCGATGGAGATAACCTGATGGAGTAGGAATCCGGCGAATGTGGATCAGGTTCCACGTGGACCTTGAAGAAAGGCGATACTCCATAATGAACTTGCAGTTTTGTGATCACTTCAACCCCGTTAAATTCCTCTATGTTCCAGTTACCTGTGACATACCATCCACCTGCAAAGAAGAATAATATTAATTAATAAAATTATATAAGGATTCTTGCCACTTAACTGCTAATATAGAAATTTAATTCTACGCTGTGTTTGTCATAATGCGGATCAACCTGCTCTCACTACCGGTTTCGGAGCCCTACTCCATCATCAGGTGAGCTTGGGAGATCCACAAAATGACAACCACAGCGCAGAGATAGTTAATTCCGACTTGTCGGAAAGTATCGGTTAGATATTAAGTCCCGAACGGGAGATAGCGGCCTGCGTGCAATGGTAGTACTTTCGTACCACCGAGGCGCAACTATCGATAGTAAAAGGATGATAAAAAGGCTTTTTTTCAGGCAAGCCAAATTATAAAATAGAAAACAAATTTATTGCAGTAGAGGTATACAATAAAATTATATAAGGATTCTTGCCACTTAACTGCTAATATAGAAATTTAATTCTACGCTGTGTTTGTCATAATGCGGATCAACCTGCTCTCACTACCGGTTTCGGAGCCCTACGCCATCATCAGGTGAGCTTGGGAGATCCACAAAATGACAACCACAACGCAGAGATAGTTAATTCCGACTTGTCGGAAAGTATCGGTTAGATATTAAGTCCCGAACGGGAGATAGCGGCCTGCGTGCAATGGTAGTACTTTCGTACCACCGAGGCGCAACTATCGATAGTAAAAGGATGGTAAAAGGCTTTTTCAGGCAAGCCAAATTATAAAATAGAAAACAAATTTCTTGCAGTAGAGGTATATAATAAAATTATATAAGGATTCTTGCCACTTAACTGCTAATATAGAAATTTAATTCTACGCTATGTTTGTCATAATGCGGATCAACCTGCTCTCACTACCGGTTTCGGAGCCCTACTCCATCATCAGGTGAGCTTGGGAGATCCACAAAATGACAACCACAGCGCAGAGATAGTTAATTCCGACTTGTCGGAAAGTATCGGTTAGATATTAAGTCCCGAACGGGAGATAGCGGCAATGGTAGTCATTTTGTGGATCTCCCAAGCTCACCTGATGATGGAGTAGGGCTCCGAAACCGGTAGTGAGAGCAGGTTGATCCGCATTATGACAAACACAGCGTAGAATTAAATTTCTATATTAGCAGTTAAGTGGCAAGAATCCTTATATAATTTTATTATATACCTCTACTGCAAGAAATTTGTTTTCTATTTAATATTAATTAAGTTATACTCACAAATTTTATTATGTACATTCTTAAAAAAAATAAATAAAAACATAATAAATAGCGTGTCTCATTTAAAAGAAACATAGAAGTTTCAGTCATATTTCCAAAAACACAGCTCCCAGCGAAAATCTATTTACGCCACTGGATTGAAGTTTTCACCTTTTCGATAAGTTATGAAATAACCAAGATACAAAGGTACAATTTAGGAACTAAGGGGCTTAGGATAAATCTGTGTGTAGTAGGTATCTTTAGATTCCTAAAAAAGTAACATAGTCATGTAAAAACCGCGTCTTTGTATAGTCATAAACGAGAAACCCTGTATAATACACAAAAATGGTACTACTAGTACCAGGGTGGTACTACTGTACAGGGTGGATCAAATTGGAAGCCTTTAAAGGGAAACACATTTTTCTATAGGAGATAGACAAAAACTAATATCGGTGTCTGGAGCTCAATTTTTATCAAAAACAAGTTGGTGAAAACTGCACATCGATATCTGTTACTGTTTCGGAGGTGTTTTTCAAAAATGTGCATTTTTAACAAATCGCTATAACTTTTTTGCTAAAGAAAATATTGTATTTTGATGAAAACATTTCCAAAGCACCTTTTTATGTAGAATTTAATGGTTTAAGTATTTTTTTTTAATTTAATAATTTAAGAGTTATCAACAGAAAAATTGATTTTTTTATTTGGGTCACCCTGTATATTCTTAATTAACTGAAAAGAACTTAAAATTACCTTTCAAAAAATATAGCACACTTGATATTTTGTTAAAGTCCCTTTCGAAATTCTTAACTAGCAGGCTTTGGACCCCTTATTGATGATCTGCCCCTAATGGAACTAGAAAACATATTTTTTCATCAAGACGAGGCACCGCCCCAGAACGTTAAAGTTCAATATCAGCAAATTTTTGCAACCGATTTCGAGAATAATTGAATAGCTAACCAAGTTCCCAGCCGTTGGCCACCGAGACTACCGGACTTAGTGTCTATGGATTTTTATCTTTACAAAAGATTAAAGGGTCTTATTTTTCACCCCTACTGAGTTAATGAATTCCGGGTGAAATGTTCAAAAACGGTCCCGTCTGTCCATAACAGAAGACGGTCCACATGTCGAGCACCTGTAGCAAAATATCATGTCTTGGTTTGCTATTATTTTTTATTGTTATTAGATATAGTTTAAATGTGTTGATGTTGTTAAATATAGTTTAAATTGTTATAAAATTCTGCATCTCTCACTGCAAATATTATTTTCGTTTTAATGGCTGCTCACAGCTAGAATTTTTCTGCATTACAGCCCGCGCGCGGCGCTGTTCAATGTCTACTTATTCAAAGTGGGCGAATTTCTAAAATCCTATATCTCGAAGAGGAATCGAGCAAAATATCAAGTACGCTATATTTTTGGAAAGGTAATTTTAAATTCTTTTCAATGAATTAAAAATATACAGGGTGTCCCAAATAAAAAATCAATTTTTCAGTTGATAACTCATAAATTATAAATTTAAAAAAAATATACTTAAACCAGTAAATTATAGGTAAAAAGGTGCTTTGGAAATATTTTCATAAAAATTCAAAATTTTCCATAGCAAAAAAGTTACGGCGATTTGTCAAAAATGCACATTTTTGAAAAACACCCCGTAACTCCGAAACGGTTACAGATATCGACGTGCGGTTTTCACCATTATGTTTCTGATAAAAATTGAGCTCCAGACATCGATATTAGTTTTCAGCTATCTCCTATAGAAAATGGCGTTTCCCTTTAAAAGCGTCCAATTTGACCCACCCTGTACATTCTGTATAAAAATTCACATAAGTTTTTATAAGTCCTAAAGAGGCATAGGGATACCTTGATATCATAAGGGGTACTGTCCCAAAGTAGCCTTTTTATCTACACACCCCTTGCTTTCAAATTAATTATTTAAAACTTCTTGTGATTGTCAGTTGATCGGTCAATGACTCAACATATTTTAGACAGTGTCTACTAAATTTAAACTACCTATCTGATTATTATCTCGGATAATAATAAATTACCATACGTAATTGAAGTTATTCATAGGAAGCATTCATTAAAAAGAGAGCGAAAGTACGTCTAATAAATACCCAAACAAATTCCCTTCATAAATAATAACAAAATAGTTTCACTCGATCCCAGTAATACGATAAAATAAAATGAATTGTGCGCACATCTCAAGATAGTCAGTCACTCCCTAGTTTTGGTCTAATTAGAATATGTATTAAAAGAGAAATCTAAACGGAACATATAGGTATACTGTGCGATATTTTATGCGAATATGTAATGAAAATCTACAAGAGGTGACATAAAATAGTCATAAAAATACAAATACTATATTTATAACGATGTAGTGTTATAAAAACAATATTTTATATGAAAGTGAAGTCACTTTTAATTATTTGACATACATAGGATTTTATAGACATCACAGCAGATGTAGAAATAACATTACAGTCTTGATTGAAAAAATAAGAAGATGCGCAACCTTATGGGCGATTTCGTGGCACAAAACATTTCCGAGATGTAGCTGGCGTTACCGTTACATGTCTGAGATTTAGTTTAGCTCTGCGCCGCTGCGCGCTCATAGTCAGCGCAGCGGATGAAGAAGCATAGTTCTGCTTTGAGTCGACAGAGTGGGTAGTTGCCGGAGACAGTGTTGCCAGACTACGGATTAATCCCTAGATTTACGGATTACTCCACATAGCAAAATAGCCAAGTCATTATAATTATTACAGAAATAAAGATGACTAATATTGTTACTAACAATTTATAACAAAATTGTTGAATAGGTACTTAAAGAGAGACTAAATAAAATAAATTGACTCGGTTTTAAATAAAATCTCACAACTTTTTATAGTGGAAGAATTGTGTTGCGAGACTTGGCATTTTTTACATTCTATGTTTTTGATGGGATTGTATTTTACAACAGTTATTCTAGCGAGTATTCTAGCTTATTTTATTATAATTATCTTAAACGTAAATTATTCAAGATGATCAAAATTTAAGGTCAAATTGTTAAAATTAGTGATGAACATCCTGTATATTACTTTTCTTTTAGATAGAGAATTAAAAAATTAACATTTTGTTTGAGTTTTATATTACATATAGATCTTTCAACAGTAATATAAAATAATTATTATAGTTGACTTTGATGAACATTTACAGAGCTAATAAAATTATTAATGAAACGTTCTCCATATACAGGGTGGCGCACCTAATTCGCCTCGGTTGATTATACGATAACGGAAAGATGTAGAAACAAAATATTTTATGGGTATATGTGGAGAGGCAATTTAAAATTATTTTGAAAGATACAGGGTGTTTCAAAACTAAGATCCATACCAAAGTTATAAGTTTTCTTATGGAACACCCGGTATTTTATTTCATTTTTGGATTCTTGGGCCCAAAAAAAGCATATATTATAAAAATTATGTTTAAAATCTTTGGTTTTTGAGATATTTAAATATGCATGCTACAATAGAATAGATTATTAACACCCTGTAACATTGCTTTTCAGAATTAGTACTTAAGTATGCTGAGTTTAAAGATCAGGAAATAAACTTTACTAAAAAATGTTATTGCTTCCTTAAATGTATACAGGGGTACCAAAAATTGCTGAACTATTTTAGGGATTTATTTTATATAAAAACTTCGTTATTTCAAATGCAATACCCTGTATTTTTTTAAATAAATCGAAGCAGATTCAAATGCTCTTTAAAACTATATTAGGGTTTCCTATACCTATCTAGCTCATATTTAGAATAAAAATCGATTTTTCAATAAAATCGCTATCAAGATG